CAAGATGCATTTGGTTTTCTGCACTGTCAAGGAACTGCCTTTCTTATGTCTTAAGGATCTTAGTTTCCCAAATGGTTTGATCTTGTGGTATATTTCTCATACTCTGTCTTCGTCTCTCCTAAAACTCAATGAACTCCTTTGAAACTAAGCTACTGCCATTTCATGAGTACAAGAAACTTGGAAGGATTTAGGAAATGCTCTGACATTAATCACCTTCAGGTTGTTGGTAGTGCAAAAGTAATCTAACATACTTTACTAATGAATGATCCAGGCTTATTAAAACAAAAAAACAAAACAAAAAAAACCCCACAGAAACCTACCAAATAAGCAAGATCACAACCTATGGACTGAAACAAAAAGTAGAGGAAGTGTCTTAAAGGGAATGGCTTATTTACTATATTGAATATATGCGTTTGACTCTATGGGCACATCTACACAAGATGCGTTAATGCACATAAGCCTAAGTTAATGTGCATTACTGGTGCTTGCGTACATGTGTGCGCCCTTAATGTGCATTAATTTAGGCTAATCACACCTAAATTTGATACCTGGAAATGCAGGTATCAAATTCAGGCATAATTAGTTAATATGCATTAATGCACATGTAGGCACAACCCACCACTAACTTTAGTGCCAGGTCTACCCTGCCAGGAGGGGGCCTGCCTGAGCTCAGCCCCAGGGAACATCCAGGGGCTGGGGTACTGGGCACCTGACCCAGGGCCCTGCCCCCCTAGGCTCCCCACTCTGGGCTTGAAGACCCAAAATATTGTAAACAGTTTTCCCCTTGTATAGTTTCCCACTTGTAATAGGGTTTTTTATTGTTGATGGGTGGAGAGGGTGGTGGAGGGGAGAGGAGTTGTTTGTTGAGAGGGGAGGAATGGGGGGTGAGGATTCTGAGGGTAATAAAGTGTTTTTTGTTTCACCCATGTGCATGTCCTGAGAGTGATGCTGGGGCAGGCAGAGGGTAGGGGTCTGGGGGAGGTGAGGCAGGAGGGCTGAAGCAGGGAGTACAGGAGGAGGAGGTTAGCCAGGGCCTCCCGCAGCCAGTGCCCTGGCCCCTGCTGGCAGGTGTGCAGCTGTCCTGGGGCCTAGGCAGGGCAGGGCCTGCTGGAGCCAGCACAGCCAACATCATGGCCAGCAGGATCATGGGGCACTGGTCATCACTGGCAGGGGCCAGGCTGAAGCAGTAGAGCACTGGGCGTAACAGGTAGGAGCAGGAGCTGGAGCAGCTCTGGTGCAGGGAGGCAGGGTGGACAAGGAGGGAGCTGTTGTATGCTGCCCTGTGCTGGGCATGCAGCTCCTGGGCATGGAAGGGGCTGGTCAGGGATCAGAGTTTCTCAGATGGCTGCCAGGTGCTGGCAGCTGGCTCTGGCTTCAACATGGCTGCCAAGTGCTGGCAGCCATGGGGCTGGAGGCTGGAGCTTCCCCCAGTGGCAACAGGGGCACATGGCAGGGCTGCAGGGACTTGGGACTAACTTTAGTGCCAAGTCCTTGCATATGTGGACACCTGCCAAAAATGGCTTAATGTGCATTAAATTTAGTGATGCTTAAATGCACTTGTAGATGCACCCTATGGCTAGGGACAGAAATAACTCATAAGCCAGTATAAGTGATTGGAACTGCTTCAATTCTGTAACACAACAGAAGTTCAGTGCAAATAAACCACTTTCAAAATGGCCAAAACTGGTTTAAGATCAACACGGATGGATGCAGTAGCAGACTTAACTGATTTAAGTTAAATCAGTATATTGAACTTCTGTCCCAGATCCCCTCCAGATTCAAGCTAACTCATCCCAGCATCCCAGGATGCTTTGCATCTCCCTCGTATATCCTCCTCACAGGATGGGCATGCTAGCCTTGGCCCAAACTATCTGCTTCAGCCTAGCACAGAGGCATGCTCTAGCACCTCCTTGGCGTCTTGCCTGAGCCACTGCAGGCCTGTGGCTGCATTTCCAGAATCAAAAGTGAATGTCTGTTCACTTGCTTATCACTTCAGTCTACACAGCTTACACTAACCTGCAAAGATTGAATTGATTCAGCCTTGGGCTTACTGACTGTCTTTACTTAGCCCACGGGACAAATTCTACCTCTTGGCTTCAGTGGAAGCATATGCATTTATCCAAGGCTAAAATTTGATTCTTCAGGTTTCTGAAATATCAAGGGAATTGGATGTCCTAGTTAAATAGTTTGTGTTGTGCAATCAGCAGTAACTAATCAGATCACGATAGAGGTCTTTCTGATTTTGGCAACAATACAAGAGTCATATTTGCACATGGATAAACTGTTTATGGACAATTATGTATTAGGCATACACAGCTTTTCTTGAAAGTCAACCATGCATGCATGTTTTCTTAAACCTTATTCAAACATTATATTTATTGTAGCTCTTGTTCTCCTTACCGTTTCTCAGGGTAGTGATGCAGGATCCCTGTATGTAATTGCATTCTCATAGCTGGCTTTTATTATTTGTGCGTTTCTCCCAGAGAAGTCCCTTTTAAAAGTCAATTGTCAAAACACCTGGTCAAATTCACTATTATTTTTAACAGTAGGGCTTTTTTTCATTGGGGGGGGGGTCTGCCCTGCTAGGACTCAGAGGCGAAAACTGGCCAGTTTGGAAAGTTGTAGACTACGACCTTATTTTGTTTCCAAACAGTACAGATTACAAAGGGGAACATTTCATAAGAAATATTGGCCTGTCTAAAAGGGTAGTTCTAAAATGCCTCCCAAGAATGCAAATTAAGTCTTGTACACTTGTCCCAGGGAGCCACTGTCTGAAATGTATCATGTATGTTCCATATTCGCATCTTAGAACCCAATTTTGTCATTGTACTTTAAAAAAAAAATCTTCCCATTTATAGTCTAAATATATTTTTTAATAAGCGGTCTGCTTGTGGAATCTGACTGATAAGCAAATAGTTACATATTTACAGGGCAGAAGACTTCTGTGCACATGCTCTGATACAAGTATTTCTATTAAAAAATAAAAAAAGAGACAGATTAGGGCACATCATGGTTCAGGGAGTTAGGAAAATCGTTCCTTTGTAAGTTTTAAATTCAGATTCCTCTCAGGTTGTTAATAATCAGATGGTATTAATATGTGATGGATGGCAGTTCAGTGACCTGTATAAAATCAGTTGATGATCTCTGTCCATTCCCTATTGGCCTGGCAGCTACATCATCAAAAACACACTGGCAAGCTATGATGACAGTCTGGACAAAACTATAAAGACTTGGGTGAATGTGGAAAATGAACTCCCTTCTCCCTCTTATAAACAGCCCTTTCTGAACAGGACTGAGGCATCTTGTCACAGAAAAGGGAAAGACCTTCATTAGCAATGCCCACATTATGCCTGTTCTAGAAATAAAAGTTTCTAGCCTTTATAACTTTCACTCTGCCACCTACTGACATTTTCACAGAGGGATGATGAAGGGATGAATTTAAAAAGGAAGAAAGAAAAAAAAAAGCACAAGCATACTTTCTATCAACATAAATCCATAGGTACAGTTTACATCGCTATGAACCTACTTAGGGTGGCACCTGCAATCCAAGACATTTTGCTTAACTTTGTGATCCAATTCGGTTACATAAATCTCAAACAAAATATAAGCCAAAGCATACAGCTCAGAGTGACTAAATTAGATTCCCTAAGACAAGTCATAGTAAACCATATGGTATTTTCCCCAGTAGTTACAATATGCTGACCTTGATACTAGCAAAATGTGTTCTCTTCTGTAAAATAAATAAATAAATAAATAAATAAAAATGATGCTGTATACCGTAGTTGCAGAAAGAATATACTGAAATGCTGCCATACATATCTTCCATTACAAACCTCAAAGTCCTCCCAGAAGTTAGTTCACCCATAGTAAAAAATTCTATTCATTAAAGAAAAACATGCTGTGATGGCATTGCCCGGATAATGATATTATTTAAAAACCTGCCAAACTATTGGGACATCTGGCCGGTAATCACAATAAAGAAATCTAATGCAAATATATTCAATCACTGAGACCTAGCACCGGGTCCAGCCAATTAACGCTGCTTTTATAAATGTGGGAAAGTCAGCAGGATATAACTGCTGGGCAGCTACGAACGTACAGTTTGGAAATAACGCCACTCTTTCTTATGCCTTATCCCCATGCTACAGAAAACCTGCTTGCACAGTGAATGGAGGAGCCTACTCTCTCCCCATTTCCAGATTAGAGACTCTTAATAAACATTTCCACATTACAGACCCCTGGCCAGCCCAGTTTCACTCTTCCTTTCAGCGTCCATGCTCTGCCCCTGTGCGCCAAGGTACTGGGCAGGATGATCCTGTGCTCCAACCCAGTAAATGACAGTTCTTCTGTACAAGCATCACTGTGCTTCAATAAGAGAGAAAACCCAAGGTGGTGGGGGAGAAGGTGGGAGGGAAAGGGAGGAACAAAATAATAGGAGTCTGCTGCCTGGAGAAAATGAATAAGGCTAGGGTAGGATCGCACCTTGGAGGCTAACTAGATCACAGAGGCATACCGTGAGCTCTGGCTGGCTTCATCCCATCGTCAATCAAGGGGCACAGCATGAGTCTGGCTTTGATCTTCGTTTGGGGGAGCGGGGGAGAGAAGTCCAGATTGCAGCCTCCTCCCCACTGCTCCAGCCATCCCCTGCATCTGAACCTCTCCTCCGTCACAGAGGGTGAGACAGGCCCCGCCACGGAGCCACCCCGGGATGCAGGCGCAGCCACCGGGGGGCACCAGCTCCCCCACAGGGGCTAGTGGCAATGGGGAAGGGAAGGGGCAATGCCAGGCTGCGCACCTATGCGACAGGCAAGAGACAGAGGATTGGGAGGGGGGATTGGACTGTCACTGCACCCCCCAGCACCTGCCAGCCCTTCCCTTCACACCGCAGCAGCTGGGGAAACTCCTGCGTGTCCCCCGCAGCGCACCCAGGCTGGGAGCTGCTTGCCCCAGCAAGACACAGCCCCTGCGGCAGTGCCAGGGCAGGGCAGGTGGGTACTCACCACGGCAGCCTGCACCAAAATGGAAGCTGGGCAGTAGGAACTTCCCCCTGCAGCGCTCGCCGGAGGAGGATGCTGCGGCTGGGTCAGCAAGTCCTTGGCCCCGCGGGCCGGGGTGGCTCCTGCTCCCTCGCACCGCTGCCCTCGGGGGCGACAGGGAGAGGAGGAGGGGGGTCCCCGCCGCGGGGCAAGAGTGCCTACCAGCGG